AGTAATAAGTTTATTATTTGTTTTAAATGTACTTCAAACTGAGAAAAATATTGCAATTTTGAGCCAAATATTGTCGACGTGTGTTCCAGCGCAAGAGGTTAACCTCTTGCGCTAGTAACTGGTTTGCGGACCATAACGAGCGACCAAAACGTACAAAATAATTCGTCTTTTTTTTCAATTCATTCGGTATATCACTGGATAGAAATTATTGTGAAGTAATAAATTTATTATTTGTTTTAAATATACTTCAAACTGAGAAAAATATTGCAATTTTGGGCCAAATATTATTGACACGTCGTTCCAGCGCAAGAGGTTAAATTAGTATCTCTGATATCTCGCGTCTGAGCGTTTCCTGATTCGCGTATGAATCACTTCCCTATCAGCTCGATGCGAATACCGACGAACGTCGAAACGTCCGTGCAATTTATGATCGTTCGATATAACAATATTTCCGGAATTCATCATTACGGGCCGTGCACCCACGTAAATGCTGGATATTGATTCAGAGGATGCCGGAGAATGAATTTTTCGAGCACAATGCATTCTCGAAATACTGCCTTCCCGATGAGCAATCGGATCATCGGGATACGATCAATTCGAACAGATAAACGTGAACAACAGTGAAAATTGCAAATATCAGATGGAGATTTCACAAATTTCGCGTCGATTTGTTCTATTAGATTCGATATCGGGCGAGATGGCTTGAGATTTGAACTAAATGTTAATGCTATTATTTGTACGAGTATTATATATGGAATAATCTTTCACTCAAGAATGTAATTTAACAACGTGGAAGTACTTCAATTGCACGAGTACTTTTGCTTCACTCATTGCGAGTATCTTCTCCAACTTCTAACTTGTCTGATTTCGAAGCAATTTCTCGAGAAGCTAATTACAGAGCGGGCCAAAAGTTTCTTCCCACCTATTTCTTTCCTTTTTTTCCAACAAAACATCAAAAACATGAGAAAAAGAAACTAATTTTATTAATTTAAGTTTGAACAAGCGTGATTCTTCAATTACGCTTCAAAAATTATTCCCTTCAAACGTTAATCAAATAAAATGAAATAAAGTGTATGAATAAAAGAACAATATTCCTGGCCGACTATGTGCTATCTTTTTTTCCGTCACAAAAAGAAATATTTCCCTGCCGAAAGTCGTAAGTTCGATTTATCAAAAATAAACTACACTGTACAGCGATATATCGATCGTTACGTCAAGCTACACGTATATACTACCGTCTCAGAAGAGTCTCGTAATACTAAGCAACTATCAACGAAATTGATCGCCGCTATTCTTCTGGAAATGGTTAAAGCTCGACTATCGCGAGTCGATGGAAATCGCGCTGGATCGATCTGCGATCGTCTTGCATCTAGCTAGAGTCTAGGAACACTGTTCAAGTTTAGCGGAATAGGGTATGTGATTATGCGTTACCTGAGAGCAAGTGTGTTGAGTCGGGTGTTGCGTGTACGCGGCGTTCGCCGCTGCGCATACCCCAGTTCCCGGAACCTTTAGCTGCTCCTTGTAATCGGGCTGATACGGCAGCAACATGCGGATCTTCCCCCAACGATTGAAGAACAGCGCTATCGCGCCTGCCCAGAAGATCAACACCAACACCACGATGCCCACTTCTACGCCACGGACCTGCAATTAAGCCGTCCCTTCAATCTTCATTTGGCGCGCGCAACCACTCGCGGAACTGCCCGACGAGAATCGTATTTTGCATTTAAATTCATAAATCCGAACCGGAACAAACAAATGAAAGAGATGTTTCCGTTTCTTCTATTCGGTAGAATAGAAGAATATTTTCATTTGTATTAATCATTTTACCGGAAACAGTTGTATTTCAGCAAAAAGTGCCAAGGATTGATGTAGTTTGATAAGGTTTGAGGAGGAAGGCACAAAAGTTCCGTGAAAAGTGATAATTGCAAAATTTAAAAAGAGGCATCTTTATAAATAAAGAGAAAATAAATTAGCCAGCAACGATATATCGTTCGGTTAAGGATTAATATTGAATAAATTATTATTATTATTATTATTCTGTATTAACTCTTTTACCAAAAGGTTGAACCTTAGTGAAAATCATCGAGTCAAGTTAGTAACAGTTTGGTAAGGTTTGAGGGAAAATGTAGTGGAAAAAATTCTATGAGAAACGATAGTTACAAAATTTAAAAAGAAACCTTGGCAAAAAATACCGAGCCAAGTTGATGCAGTTTGATAAGGTTTGAGGAGGAAGGCACAAAAATTTCGTGAAACGTGATAATTACAAAATTTAAAAAGAAACATCTTAATAAATAAAAGGAAAATAAATCAACGTAGCCAACAACGATATATCGTTGGATTAAGGATTAATATTGAACAAATTATTAATTGATATTTATTGAATAATTGAAAGTTTTGAAGGGTTAATATCGAACTATTTCAAATATTTCTTTCTAAAGATACAAAGCAGACGCATCACGGGCTTCAAAGTTCAAAAGCTGAGATAGTAGAGATTGTTTGAGGAAGTATGTACGTGAACTTCTCTTACTTGTATGTAAGGCTGTGGTTGTTGAGAAGAAGGTGGAGGGGGTGGAAGAGGACCGCCTGTAACCGCTGCATCCTGCTGAGGGGATATTCGTGGTGGTTCTGAAACATTCAAATGTACATTCTTTTGTGTATTTATATATATGCAATAATTTCATCCGTTGAAAGATGTATTTTATATATACATAAAATACATCTGTCAAGAGATGAATAATATGAAATTATTGATATATAATTTCATTTATTTCCAAATAAATGTTATTAGATATATGTAATATATTTAAAGTTCTTTGAAATTGACTTTTGACTTTATTAACTTCAAAATTACTCAATAATTTCATATTATTCATCCGTTGAAAGATTTTACCACTTTATTATGACCGACTGGAAGATGACTTTGTTAATTTCAAATTATCCAATAATTTCGTGTTATACACTCGTTGAAAGACGTACAGAGAGAACGAAAAACAAGACGATGGAAACGAAATTGTGTTTGAATCCACGATGATTGTTTGTGAATGTGTTTTCAAAACAACCGGAGAATGTTCAGCGAGTGTAACTTTACCAAGTGTACGGAAGACGATGGGTCGACTTCGAAATTTCTTGCCAGCTCTCACGGCAGTGACGACCAGCTGATACTGCGTGTCAGCCCTGAGGCCGCTCAACGTGACTGCTTCGCTGTTACCCGCGACCACCGCCACCACCCTGTAACTAACCATAACTCTGTAACACCACCTTGCCATTTGACGTTTCAATCTTTCCGTTTGCTTTCTCTCATTCTATCGATACACGATATATATATTCTAAATACCACGTCGAGTCTCGTTCTACGACTGGTGTCAAAAAAAATCAGGGGGGGTACAGTAAATTCAGGATTCTTCGTCGATTAACTACGATTATGAAGTAAAGAATTGCGAGCAAATTTCTGACTAATAACGGGCTAATTAATTCGGCTGTTTGTGGAGTTTATTATAAAACATCGTTTCGTGCGTTAATCTGTGAGTCGATGATTGTTTTTTTGTTAAAATATTTGGAGCGCCTATAGCTTTTTGTGGAAAGAAAAACCTTTAAACGTACGCAGTAATACAATTTCCAATAATGAATTTTACAATGATGTAGTACAAGTGATGTGTTTTGAGTAAAATATGAAGTATTTTTATCGGCTGAGTTGAACTACACTTCACTACACTGATTGCAAAATAATTTAGTTACACTGCAATTCGTAATTCACTTTCTTTCCCTTAATCAAATTACAAATGACGAATCAGAATTGGCATTCGAAAGGTGAAGAAAAGAAATTCAGATGAAAGAGGTGGTGTGTCGTATCTAATGAAAGCTCTCTTAATTGTTGGATATCTGCTAATATATCAAGCGTGATGGATGCCTAAAATATTGGACTGAACACGGAGAGTTTGGCGATATCGATTCACATTCTCGGAATTCCAAGCACTTCTCACGTATTGCATTTCAATGGCATTCATCATACGATTCAAGTACGCTGTAATTCAATTGCACTCGCGGTTACAACAGTAATTGGCTACAGTAATTAAACTAATTAAAAAGTTGAATTATATAGTTCAATGGCAACGTAATTAACTTACTACGTTATCGTTAAGTGCAATTGCGTAATTGAATTACGTAAATTAGGACATTAATTAGCATAACTGTGTTTAACGTGTTTTTCCATGATTGGCACAATATCATTCGATAATATTGCAAAAGGACACATTTCGCAATTTTACTAATACTCCGCCATTAAATGCACATTAAGCACTTTACAAGGAATTATAGCAATTTTTATATTTCCTATTTATCGTGTAATTCATTATTGAAAATTGCCACTGTATATATATCACACGCAGTGAGCTATTTATGATTTGAAACAGATTTTGCTAATATATCATTTGTTTGGACAAAAATATCGTCAAAAGATTAGGTATACCAATCGATCAATGTTCTACCAATTCACAAACGAAAGGTGAAATTTTTGTAACTTGTTTTTAAAACGCTCGGACAATCTTTCGAAAATTGCACTCTTGTTTCCTATTCACTTTGATGAAGTCGTCCTGTGAAATACAGGGTGTCCATAAAGTCTCCTTACAATTTCAAAAATTTATTACAAAGGCAACTGATGAGATATCTTCATCAGATTTGTTCCATGTATTCAGTGTTTATCAAGGTTTTTATCAAATTGCATTTCAGCTACCCTGTTGATGAATAAGATACTGTTAAACGAACCCCTTACAAAATGGCTACACCTGAAGAGAATGCACAGTGCGTATCATGGTTTATTGAAACCAACTCGAACCTGCAGACTCAGCGAAACTTCAGAACTAAGTGTGGAAAAGATCCACCGTCACGTCCATCAATTCGTGCATGGCACGAGAAATTTGTGGAGGCAGGGACAGTGTTCGATAAAGGAAGGCGTGAATGACCAAGAACATCTGAGGAAAACATCGATCGTTTAAGAAGTCTTGACGTGCTTCGTGCAACTAATAGTGCCCATATAGAGGTGTATTAAATGAGGCAGAAAAAAAAACTTAAATATATACGTCTAATTTTGTAATAATTTCCACTTATCTGTCTCTTCATTTGCCTTTGTAATAAATTTTTGAAATTGTAAAGAGACTTTATGGACGCTCTGTATTGTGTATGGAATATATAGATCGTACACATAATTTCTCTTGACTACATTTTTCATGACAATTTCCCGCCGCAAGTGCATTCACTCAATGCACACGTATACTGAAGCGTTTCCGCTATTACAGAACTGTCAATTTATGGAGATTCCAGTTTAAAATATATTTTCCAAGGCACACGTACTGTGCACGGAGAGGGCGGCAAGTGCTATCGGGAAACGCATGAACTGAAAAATCGATGTTTTAGCTGTCTTCGAAAGTAAAGACTTTCTTTCAACACGAGGAGAATCATCGTGCTTCTTTCGTTCTCTGAAACGATTATTTTCATCCAGCAATATTTCAGAAGCGAGTCAAGAATAAGAAACTTAAAGAACATCAGACCTGGGCGAAAATTTATTTCCAGAAATAATGTTTAATTTATTTTTTGAAATGATGTTCTTTGGTATTTGCTAAATAATGGCAGCTCAAATGCTACATTTGAAATAATGTTCTTTGGTATTTGCTAAATAATGGCAGCTTAAATGCTGAAAAAATTTATTTTTTGAAACAATGTACTCTGGTATCTGCTAAATAATGGCAGCTTAAATGATGAAAAAAATTTATTTTTTGAAATAATGTTCTTTGGTATCTGCTAAATAATGGCAGCTATATTTGAAATAATGTTCTTTGGTATTTGCTAAATAATGGCAGCTTAAACGCTGAAAAAATTTATTTTTTGAAACAATGTACTTTGATATCTGCTAAATAATGAAAAAAATTTATTTTTTGAAATAATATTCTTTGGTATCTGCTAAATAATGACAGCTATATTTGAAATAATGTTCTTTGGTATTTGCTAAATAATGGCAGCTTAAATGCTGAAAAAATTTATTTTTTGAAACAATGTACTTTGGTATCTGCTAAATAATGGCAGTTTAAATGATGAAAAAAATTTATTTTTTGAAATAATATTCTTTGGTATCTGCCAAATAATGGCAGCTATATTTGAAATAATGTTCTTTAATATCTGCTAAATAATGGCCGCTTAAATGATGAAAAAATTTATTTTTTCAAATAATGTTCTTTAGTATTTGCCAAATAATGGATTTCAATCGGCGGTGTGTAGCTTTTTTTTTATGGCTCATTAAAGGAATCTGAAGCTGTGCAAATAATTGAGAAAATACGCAAATAAATCGAAGAACTCGATTATTCGAGAAAATGATGTTTATTTGATAACTGAAAAATTATATTTAATTTCAAACACCCAGGTCTGACGACGTGCACGATTACGTGTTCCGCGCAAATTAAAGACGAGGCAGAAGATTTTCCTGCGCGTAAACTCTCACGAGTTTTTATTAAAACAAAGGTGCCACAATCTCAGAGAGTTCTTAATTTTTTCAAAGTAAGTAGCACGCAAATCCCTGCGTTTTTATTTCCCCGCGCGTTTCGCAATTCAGGAGAGACTAACGCCAAAAAAAATTTCTCAACGAACCTGTACAACTAACTGATCTCGAGTTGGCAAATATTTTTTCGTGCAACTCTCGCTCGCGCTCTAAAAACTGGCCAGATGGAAATGTTACTAGAAACTAATTGCAAATGCTTGTTTGAAACATTAATTGGTAGAATAGAAACGATAGAATGTTGTTGGCTGTGTGTGTTTAATTAATAATTGGAAGTAATTAGTTCTTTTTCACGTTAACAGGGCACTTTTCAAACAACTGCGATTATACAACGATGTTGGTACCATGGAACAAATAAAAGTAAAAGAAATAAAGAAAAAGAGGGAAAAGGGATGTACAATGCTCGCAATTCTCAAGGAATACCTTAAGAAATCTGTATACCTGTCAGTGTATTTCCTACGCCGCAGTAGAAGCAAAAGCATCAATTAATATCAAGTCCTCTTTGAAAAGTCGACATTAACAGACTGATACCAATTGATAAATGAATCAAACAAGAAGAACACACTCGCTAAGGAAAAGGTGGCTCTTCTTTTTGTCCGACGACAGAAGCGTATCTCTCTCGTCGTGCAGTAAAGTAAAGAGAAATTTACACTTGTTATTGAAATCCAGATAAACCAAACAAACATGTTCGTTTTAAATTCTGACACACTTTGGAATTTTCAGAATACTTTGGAAAAAATTGTCATCAATTAATGGGACAATTGTGACCATTGGAAAGAGAAATTTGTAATTATATATAATTGATACAACTTTGCAGTTTTACAGTTTATCTCGATTTTACAGCAAATGCACTTAGTATATACTCGCCGCAGCCAAATTGTTGAAAATATACAATTAACCGCACTGTCTCGGAAATGAAACGCTTCGAGGGTTAACATCGTGCATGTCACATTAATTAGTTCAACGATGTGTCAAAAAAACTGAACGAAAATTTCAAAACTCTCTTTTTCTCTCACACACACACACGTCACTATAGCTATAAGCTAGTCAAGACAGCGAGGATAAAAGAAACGAAGAGCGAGAAACTTTTCGTTCGAGTTGCAAATTTACATTCGTAAATTCCTCTTATCTGGAGATTCTCCTATTTGGAAATTCCAAACGGCACGCCAGCTTCCAAGATTGCATGCAAAGAGAACAAAGAAAGAAAGAAAGAAAAAAAAAAAAGAAACGCTCGTGGAACACATCGAGATCTTCAGAACGCACCTTGCATCAGTTGGCTTGTACGTGACGTCGTATTTTTCAACTTGCTCGACTTGGCTGGTGCTCCAAGAAACGCGGACAGACGTCGGATTCAGGAACATCACCGTTATATTTTCCGGGACACCGGGAATACCTGTCACCGAGCCTGGAGCAGCGAACGCTTTGTGAATAGGTATTATTGGACAAACGTTGAAAAAAAAGAAAATAAAAATAATAAAAATAAACATCCATATCGTAGCCATTACTACGATATTTTGATCAATAGACTAGTGTGTGTTTATGCGTTTTTTTTTTTTTTGTGGAGAATTCAAGAATGGAAAAAGACAAAAATTCATAATGTACGGCTTCTGTACCAACGCCGGTGATCAACGAAGTGACAAATTTATAATTTTTAGAAATTTTATGTAATCTTTAATATAATTGCAATATAATCTTAATTGTATATAATATTATTGTTGTATTATAATACATATAATTTTATATATATTATATGTTTGTATTATAATATAATTTTAATGTAACATAACTATAATATAACAATTTTCAGAAATTTTATGTAATCTTTAATATAACTGCAATATAATCTTAATTGTATATAATATTATTGTTGTATTATAATTATTATAATATAATATTATTATTTGTATTATAATACATATAATTTTATATATATTATATAATTTTAATGTAACATAATTTTAACATAACTATAATATAACTATAACATTTTTAGAAATAAAATTTTTAGAAATTTTATATAATCTTTAATATAATTGCCATATAGTCTTAATTGTATATAATATTATTATTGTATTATAATATTACAGTTATTATAATATAATATTATTGTTGTGTTATAATACATATAATTTTATATATATTATATAATTGTATTGTAATATAATTTTAATGTAACATAATTTTAACATAACTATAATATAACATAATTTATAATATAATTATAATATAATACAACAGAAATTTTACACAAGCTTTAACATAACTATAATACATTTGTAACGTAATTTTTAGTTTTTAAAAACTTCATAGGTGCAAAACGGATATTTTTATATTTTCATCATTTCAAATGATTTCTCGTAGAACGTCTAAACAGAAGTTCGCGCATTTCATTGTGTTACAAAGATATTTTTATCTTTTTTTTTCTCCCTCTTTGATACCTCGGATGGAAATATTATTCTTTATACATAAATGTTACGATATTGTATTTCAAAAAAAAAAAAAAATTTTATCGAACCTAGATAATAGTTCGAATATATTTCATAAGTTATGTTCTTATCATTTCGTAAGCTGTACTCTTATTTTACAACGCGAACTTTCGAAAGGAACATAAACTAAACATAAATCGTGATGAACATAAATCTAATTGTAAAATTGAAATTTAGTGGAACTGAAATGTGGAATTAAAATATTGTTAAACGAAAGAAAATTTTCGATTCGAGCCTCTCTATTCGATAAAAACTCGAACGCATAAACGCCAAGTTCTCGACCGGTTATTTTCCTCGGATCGGTTAAATCGGCCAGCAAACTGGCACAGTCGTTCTCCCGAGTATTTTCTATAGAATTCGTCGAAAGCAATTTGCAAAGTTTACACAGATGCCCCGGTAATATTAGAAAACGTACATACACGCACGATGAAATCATAACAAATAAATAATCGCGATCGTTTGTCGTCGTTTTTATAGAAAAGAGACGACAAGAACGTTGAAAGTGACAGAACTTTTCTTTCTTCTCTCTTCTAACATTCAAGAGAATGTAGAAATGTTTCTCTCAGTTTCATTTTCTGAGGTTACCGAAATCGTAGAAAATTGTGAACTGACTTTTGTTCGTCCAGTATACTACTGATATGATATTTCTCGTGTACTCTAATGCAATACTATCGAGGCGAGATAGATTTGAAAAAAGGTTCTCGAGAAAGTCTCAGAAAATGGGACATATCTCAATCAAATTGCTCGAAATGGGAGAGGAGAAAAGTGACCTTTGGTATACTAAACTGTATCATCGAATCAGATTTTCGTGAGGTCTTCGTCAAAGCGGGAATATTGCATCACGTCGGTAACAATGCAGCAGAGAGCGTAGAAAGCAAACTCGTAGTTTATACTCTTCCACCTTCGTTTCAATCAAAAGTTAACAAATCGCATAAACGTTTGTTCGCGGGTATTTTAAAGCATTTTTGAAATACAGGTCGAAGCTGCTTCGATCAATATCGCGCGCTTGATTGCGATGTAACGCACACGATAGGAACGGAAAAAAGATTTATATTAAAAAAAAAAAAAAAAAACANGAAAAAAAATTTATATTAAAAAAAAAAAAAAAAAACAACGATAACTACTCTGTGTCGAAGTTAGGCAAAATTGGTTTTATACAGGGCCGTTTAAGATCGTGAAAAAGATCTTGACAAACACGAGTCAAAAATTTATTAATTTCAGAGTTACGAGATACATTTTTCTCATTAATTTGAAAACGCTGTTTCTCAAAGCATACGTTTACAGATGCATGAGCGAATTGTGTTAACATCGAGTTTACCAGATACTGACAAAACAGGAGAAACTATTATAGGTTTAAAGAAAAAAGTCTATAAACTTCGAAGCTAATGATTTTTGGCCAATATTTACCAAGAACATAAAGATATATTTATCCATTTCGATGTTTGACCACAAACTTCTTTAAACACCCTGTACATACAGAGATGGACAGAAGTATCCGCACGCTTGATGAAAAATTATCGGTTAAAAAATTATCGCTTATTCTAAATTGCTTAAACTTTGTGAGATAAAATCGCGGAATCTCTATTTTACTAATCTTGAATTTCTTTTTTCATTACACGCAATGCTTTTATTTGTCAAAAATTGTAAAAGTCACGAAAAAAATTTTTTTCCACCATCTTTGAAGACTGAATCCCTCCCTTTACATCCTCACTTTAATCTTTGGCTGCGTAATTTTTTTTCGCCATTCCATTGTCACTTTAAACAATACAAGTTGGAGAAACCCAGTCACTCTGCTATTTAGCCTTATCGTTCAAAGTTCAATTAAATGGCGAGAAAGACAGCAAGTACAGCAAGTTTCAAGAGATCTTTTTGTGAAGAGAAAATTTCCAGATCATGAACGAAATTTTCAATTTCAGGAACATCAGAGCTTTTGTAATTTTCGAGGACAGAAGTACGTTCTACACGAAAGAAGCTCTAATGTCTGTCAAAGTGAAGGCTTCACGTGTTAATAAAATTTATTAAGCCAGCTGAATTGTTGTACGATTCTTTTCTACAAAGTCTGAAACACAGACAATTTTTTTATCAAGCGTGCGAGTACCTTCGTCCACCTCCTATAATTACAAATTAAAAGAAAGAGATGAAAAGAAGTGCAAGGAAAAAAATCTCACGAGATGGAATGAAACTTACCTACAAAACCTGCTCCTTGTAGGAATAGTATAGTGGCCCAAAGGACCATGCCGCCAAAATGGCGGGCCAGGTATGGACCGCGTATTCTTCCACACACGTGTTTTCCGCTTCCGTTTTCCCTCAGACACGTACGGTTTCGTGGCTTGTGTGTAACTGCCGGATAGTATGCACATGCACCTCTCTGAAAGTTGGGGCTCATCTAGCCTCCTCTACCGTGCTGCATTCTTTTTCTTTCATTCCACCACAGCCGCTGCAAACAATCGGTCCAACGATATTGATTTTGCATCACGTGGCCCTTGTAACATTGCAGGAATAGAGAAATAACATTATACCCCGTTATTGCAGGATGACCTCGAAGGACTTCCAGCCGGAACGTTGCACTTGCATCTTTCTATCTTCAAAGCGGCGTACGAGCAAATCCATCACAACAATCATCATCTGCAACACAATTTGCGATATTTACGCGAATTAATATAACGCCTCTGTCATTGTCAATTTACAGCGAGAGAAGGGAGATTCAATTTAAAAATTAGAAACGAGAGCAAGTCGAAGACCGCAGCGAAGACAAAGCCTGCAAAATTCAACTCGCTCGTCGCTGTTACAGTCATCGAACACACAGATCGAGTATTTCTAATATACAGGATGTCCGTGAAGTCCCTTTACAATTTCAAAAATTTATTACAAAGGCAAATGAAACGGCAGATAAGTGGAAATTATTACAAAATGAGACGTATATATTTCAGTCTTTTTTTTTTTTGTCTTATTTAATACACCTCTATATGGATACAATTAGTTGCACGAAGCACATCAAAACGATACTCGATTTCTTGCCATACCCTCATCAATGGTTCACACGCAGCCATCAGTGATCCTCTGCATTAGATTAGTGACGTCCCGTACCTTTGTCCCGGGCAAAGAAAAAATTATCATTTGTCTTTGTAATAAATTTTTGAAACTGTAAAGAGACTTTATGGACACCCTGTATATTTCAGTTATTCAGAGCTGGCCAGAGAGAGAAAGCTATTTTAACTTGAATCCCCGCGATAACGAAACACGTGAGAAAACAGCCGGTGATTTCCGAAAATGAGACGGGTATTAGGGCGATGGTGATAACAATCGGTTCGCTGAGAAACCGCGTATTAATGGCAATCGGCGCGTGAACACGATACAAATTGTTGATAAAGAGGGGCGGTACGTAGGTGCTGACCTTTCCGGGTTGCGTGGCACGCGCACGAACGAGCGGCCAGTACGTGTGTGTACCGGTCCGTGCCAGCGAAAATACTGAACGCGATACTGAACGGCCGCCGGCGTTGTGCTAGGTTTGCCGCAAGCCTCCGAGCAACAAATGAAGCTTGGTGGTTTATATTGGCACGGTTTACACGCAGCCTCCAGAAACCTCGTGCCACGAAAGTTTTGGCGCAATATACACCCCCGCTCAGAAATCTTAGGGCAACTGCCGTGTTTCATGCAATAAATATGAATCATAAATTATGTACAACAAACACAATATTCACAATGTAAATTGCACAATATAAACGTATAAATTATACACAAATGTGTAATTATGTATAATATAATATATATATATATTAATTGTATATATAAATTATTGTATTTGTAATGTGATTTCAACTATAGGAATCTTGGAGCAGTACTAGGACAAGTTTATGTGATAAAAATATGAATCATAAATGATATACAACAATTATATATTTATAATATTATAATATTCATACTATTTATAATATAAATTACACAATATGAAGGTGTAAATTCTACATAAATGTGTAATTATGTATAAATATGTTGTATTTGTAATGTGATCTCAACCTCAGAAATCACAGGGCAAGTTTGTATGATAAAAATATGAATTATGAATTATATACAACGATTTATTAACAATTATATTATAAATACGATATTTATAATATAAATTACTTAATATAAAGGTATAAATTATACACAAATGTGTAATTATATATAAATTACATATAAATATGTTGCGTTTGTAATGTAATTTCAATTTCAGAAATTTTAGTACAAATACTAGGAAAACTTTGTGTAATAAAAATATGAATCATAAACGATGTACAATAAATATTTACAAATTACACAATATATTCTAAATTACACAATATAAAAGTATAATTGTATATAAATTATGTATAAACTGTACTTACAACACATACAATATAATTAATATAACATAACCTCAACCTCAGAAATCATAGGACAAGTACTAGAACAAGTTTGTACGATAAAAATAATACAGTAAATATGAATCATAAATTATAATTGTATATAAATTGTTGTATTTACAATAAATATGAAAGACTGTAATTTATACAGTGAAGACTCTGTCAATGTATCAATATATTGTATTATTATATTACAACACATACCTAAACACAGTTAAACAATTAAATCAAATCTAGTATAATTAGATACAATAAATATAAAACTTACTTTGCACTATAAAGTCTCTGTTGGTATATTAATATATTGTATTACAAAATATGTATACAGGATAAGTATTGAGTACTGAAAATAAAAGTGTCCTAAAGACTTTTGAGCGGGAGTGTACCTACATACGTATACAGTACTACAGGTTGTGTTGTGTGCCCATAACTTAGCGTGCTTACCATTGTCGTTATCAAGTTTCCAAAACATTTGATCTCTTCGATTATTACCGCTTTATTATTACTATGGCTTATTGTTCGTTCCGCCATTGTTGGTCGTGTATATCGTCAGTTTAACATCGGTAACCGCGTGTTTCGTGGCAAGTATAATATTTTCTTTCAGGTCCCTGCTTTTTTTCCCCTTCCAGAACTCGTTTCTACAATCCCTTTAAAAAGAACATTCCTACAAAAGTATTTCCCGCCCGAAAAGAGAGCTCATTGAAATTACAAAGCGTGCAACATAATTTTCTTAACCTCTTGCGCTGGAATGACGTGCCATGCACGTCGAGAATTTTTTGTCCCAAATTGCAACATTTTTTCAGTTTTAAGTATATTTAAAACAAATAATAAATTTATTACTTCTCAATAATTTCTATCCAGTGATATCATACCGACAAGTTCAAAAAGAAAGCGACGAATTATTGTTATACGGTTTGGTCGCAATCAGTTGCCAGCGCAAGAGGTTAACCTCTTGCGCTGGAATGACGTGCCACGCACGTCGAGAATATAATTTTGCAATCCAAAATTGCAATATTTTCTCAGTTTTAAGTATAGTGGAATATAATCCAGGCAGAAGGAATAATAAATTTATTACCTTTTAGTAATTTCTATCCAGCGATATACCGAATGAATTTAAAAAGAAGAAAAATTGCATACGGTTTGGTCACTCGTTATGGTCCGCAATCAGTG